AAGGGGAACCCCCCAATATTTCAGGGTGCTACTCTCTCTGAGGTTGTCTGCACTTTCTAAGTGCATAACCTTTTAATCTTAAACTTCCTCTCTCCAAACCTTTCAGGGTGCTCCTGCTTCTCTCTCTCTGAAGTCGCTTGCACTTTTTCTCTCAGTAACTTTAAATAAAAATTACTCTGCTTCATTACTGTATCTCTGCCCTTCAATTCTTTGTTGTGGCGGGGACAAGGACCAAGGAAAATACACAATGCTCCCCCAACAGAATGATAAGGGGCAGTGGCAGGATCTGATCCTAGAGAGGGTATGGATGCAGAGGACTTTTTAAGGCTGCTGAAAGCCATGGAAGATTTTAAAGAATGGAGTGCCACTGCAACTCCGGGGGCAAGATCCTGGAGTAAAGTACCTTTGAAACTGAAATCAGTCAAAGAGAGAAATAAAGTGGGAGAAACCTGTCTATTTCTTACAAGCAGTCATCCACTTCTGCTCTCCTGAATCTCTTGCAACCCTGCTGCAGAAGAAGAGGCCCTACCCAGCCTCTCCAGTCCAGGTATGCTCACACTCCCCCTTGTAATTACCTATTGATATGGAGGTGGACTATTTCTCTTCACCCCTTGGAAACACCTATTAATATGGAGATGCACTGAGGCCAGGTGACAGATTCTGGAAATATTGCAATTTTATGCACAGACACCAACTGATCTTTTATAAAAGGAGAAAGAATATACGGAACTGGAGCCATTGTAGAAGCCAGGGGACCTGTCAGGGGGCTGTTGCAACACTGGAGGGAGCTGGTGGATTGGGCCAGAGTGCTCGAGGTACAGGGGATGAGTCAAGATGGGGACTGAAGCTGCCAGGTGTCCCATGTACTGCTGGGTGGGGTGCAGAGGTGCTAGGCAGGAAAATAGATGTGAGCAGGGTGGAAAGACAATTAAGGCCAGTAAAGCCCACTACAAGGGACTCAAAGAGTTAAGCAGTTAAAACTAGAGATCCAGAAAAGACTCAGAGATAATAAGTTAATCAGTTAAAGCTCAAAAGGCCAGAAGCAACTTGGCCTAGAATGTTTGAATATTCCCCAGATAAAGAAAAGTATCTGAGCACAGCCCATGTCTTCACTGTGTCAATTAGATCATGCCATTGTACGATTTACTTTAGTCTGCTAAAAGGCCCAGTTTATTCTTTAAGTTAACCTATATGCTGTTTTATTCCTCCTCTAGCCCCTAACCAAGTAATCTGCAACCTGGACAAAAGAGAAGCATCATGATTAATTTAGCAAACAAGCCCAGCCATAAGCAGCATAATAAAAACAGGAAAGATTCCATCTTAAAGCTAAAGTTGCATTTTAAAACCCAGAAAGTAAAGAAGTAAGATTCTTAGCATATTCTTTAGCAAACAGACAATAACTGAGCCCAGCTTGTGGGTAGGGAAGGCGGTCTTAATTGGTATGCTACCAGACCAGGAGGCTGCTATCCTGGGAAGGAATCAGAGCAGTAAATTTCTTGTGTTAAGCAAATTTTGCAGAATTACCTGGAGAAATGATAATAAAAGAGATGTATGGTCTCTCATCAAAGATAAACATATTGGGACCATATAACAAGTCCACACCCCTAGCCCTTTGTCACATTCCTGAAAACTCTTTTAAAGGAGGAACCCCTAATCTTTCAGCACACCTCTCTGAGGTCGCCTGCACTTTTTAAGTGCATAGCCTCAAATAGAACTTTTTCTAAACCTTTCAGCGCTCCTCTTCTATGAGGTAGCCCACACTCCCCTTTCTCCAATGTGCACTTTCTCTCTTTAAATAAACTTAAACCTTTCAGGGCACCTCTCCTCCCTGAGGTCGCCTGTACTTTTTCCCTCTTAAGTAACTTTAAATAACTCTGCTTCACTACTATGTCTTTGCCCTTCAATTCTTTGTTGCAGCGGGGAGAAGAACTGAGGAAAATAACAATGCTCCTAACAGCCCCACACCCAGCTGTAAGAAGCTTCACGGAAGTGTGTCTGCAAAGGGATTTGCAGGCGAACATTCATGGCAGCAGGATTATGACTGCCATATGTGGGTGAATGGGTGGGTGAACCAGTGTGCACCTAGAGAGACTGGGACAGCGCTGTGTAAGGCCATGGCTGCACTTCAGCACAGGAGGCCATGTTGGTCACGTGAAATAAAATGAGGTTTTGTGGTTCTCCACGTGGACCCACAGGCCAAGGGCTCTGCAGGCTATAGCCGCCCCACATCAGCCAAGTCAGCTCAGCTGGTCTGTGCAGATGCCTGCAGCCATGCTCACCTGTCACAGCCCCCAACCCCCACCCTGCCCACAGAAGATCCGCCTGGAGTGCTCAGAATGGATAACCGGCCTGGTGTTTGGTGCCTGGAAGATTCCTTAGGAGAATAACCAGCAGTCCTAAGCCTTGCTTCCCATTCACTCCCTCAGGCCGTGACACAGCCTCTTCCCATACCAACCCTGGGGTCAAAGGCATGTAAGATGTTCCCAAACCAAGGGTTTGGAGCAGTTTATCAGATAAGTTGACTGATAAAGTGACTTACAGGTCACGATCCAGGGTAAGACTTTGAATGAACTTTGCTTAAACTCGACAGCAACACTGATTTCAGTGGAAAGGAAACGACAACCTGAGGCATGGGAAAATGAAACTACATTCAGAGCCCTGTTTAAGAAGGCTGAGAAGTTTGTCATCCAACTGTTACGGCAAATACTGGAAAACCTGGACTGGGTCACTGACGGAAGAACCAAGTGGCACTCGGAGGTCTTGGAGTGTTGAGGTTTTATTTCACACTGGCGGGCCCAGAGGGGAGTAACCTCTCAAGGCCTGAGCCCTGAGCATAAGCAAAGGGAGCAATTTATACTATTTTGATATGTGGCATTTCGGCATGCACAGGGCAAAAGGGGAGCCTGGAGGAGGGGAGGAGGGAGCTGGGAGGACTTTGCCAATCGGAGGAATAAAGCAGCTTGCTGACCTTGACAAATGTGTTGAATATTTTCCTTATCACAATGATCAATGTTTAGCAATCAGAAGTGGTAAGAGAAATAGAACTGAGCAGTGTTGAGGTGGGAACATTCCTGGTTTTTGCATTAGTTAGAAGTTGAACACTTCCTGACAAGACTATGCTATGACAGCCAGGAGCACATCCTACAGAGCAAGATGTGGCTCAGCACGTCCACATACCGACTCAGAAATGCAGTTATGATCCCAGAAATATATGAAGGTAGTAGCGTGTTTGTACCAGAGGGACTTAGAGATTATGTGGGCTGGCCTCGGCCACAGGAAGGAGGGGAGCCTGTCCTGGGCACAGCACACAGCTCCCTGCCCCTCTGACTCCAGCCTGACCCTGTGTCCTCCTCCCTCCAGGGGCACAGGGTGTTGGGTTGGGGCCACTGATGGGTTCTGTGATCTCGGATATCCTGATGAGTGGCATCCCCTTCACACATTATCATGTGAGGAAATATATTTACTGGAATCAACCGGCTCTTGCTCAAAATTTCTTGGTCATCCCCTTTAACATGTCTTTCAGGGCCAATTTAAGCTACACATAAAAACCAGAAATTTCCTTTAAAGTTAGGTGTGAGATAAAGGTGACTTTTCCTTTAGTGAAAATTGGTATGCTTCATCCTTTCTTCATAGAATTGTGAGATTGATCTGTCTTCCACTTTGGCTGCCAGGAACCTCAGACAACCCCATTTAACAATATTACTTGCTATTTATAATCAATTTGATATGCAACTCTGATAAAGCAACTTGAAATATAGATAATGCTGCCTACATTTTACAAATCTTCCATTAAGTGATTTTTATTATAATAGCATTTAGTGGTAAAATTAGTGTAAGTCATTTAAGAAAAATTGGACACAGTGGCCTTTGTTATTTTGATGTAACTGATGCCGGGAGTTCTTGTTTGCGGAGTCGAAGTTTGCTGAGTCGAAGAATGAACTTAGCAAACACTCAAGCTAGGAGAGCCAGGGAGAGGCTTTTATTTAGAGATGAAGTGAGAAGACAGAGCTCCTGGCTCACATCAGGAGGGGACAAGAGAGTCCTGGGGTGGAGCGTTGTCTAGGGGACTTATAGGCGGTGGAGAGACACAGAGCTAGGGATGCAGACCCACTAAATGGCCCTGAAATGTTTATTTTTGAAGAGATACTAAATTTCTTATTAGTGGGTTATTCTTCAAAGTTAGCTTAACACAAGAAATTTACTGCTCTGATTCTTTCCCAGGATATCCACTTTTTGATTCGGGAGCGTATCAATTAAGATTGCCTGCTTTGCTTCCAAGATGGACTGAGTTATTGTTTGTTTGATTAAAATACAATCTTAGATTTAAGATAGAATTTTTTCTAAATAAGCTGGGCCTTTTAACAGGCACAGTAAATCTTACGATGGTATGTTTTAATTGACACAGTGAAAATACAAGCTATGTTGAGATAGCCTTTTCTTCATCTGGGGAGTATTCAAACTTCTAGGTCAAGTTACTCTCGGCCTTCTAGTCTCAACTAATCTCACTGAAGAAAGCTTACATTCCTAGTTTGATATTTTTACTTTAGAGAACTAATGTGACTCTGGCTTTGCTTGTTTAACATGGAGTTTCGGTAGGGGTCTTTTTCCAGAGGCCCTCACCCTACTCTGTCTAAGCCTACAGTCCCTGCCTCATAACCATGTGATGACTATTTCCTTCCAGTCTATCTCTTCTTTTTAAACTCAGTTTCTATTTCTGTGTTGAGGTGCAGTCCTTCCCAAACCACTTCCTTTCCTGTAGTTTCCGTCGCGGACGCCGCGCACTCCAGTGCGCGGGCGCGGGGCCGCCGCAAGACCTCGGCAGGGCGAGGCGAGGCGCGGGGCGGGGCCTCGGCCGGCTAGAGGGCGGCTACGGGGCGGAGCCTGGCGGGCGGGAGAGGGCGCGGGGCGGGGCCTCGGCGGGACAGGCGGGCGGGAGAGAAGCGGGCGGGAGCGGGGCGAGGCGGGGCCTCGGCGGGCGGGAGCGGGGCGGGGCGGGGTTGTGCCCGCCTAGAATCGAGGAAGCGGATGGTGGTTGTGCGGACGCTTCGCGCCGCGGGGAGTGCGGCGGAGTCTGGGCCGCGCCCGCACCCTGGTGTCCGCCTCTCAGCCTCGCGCTGCGGCTGCTGCTGGGTGAGTAGCCCTGCGGCGGCCTAGTGCGCCGCGGCCCCGGGGCCTCTAGTGCCCCGAGCCGCAAGTTCGAAAGCCCTTCCCTGGCGGACGCGGGGCTGGGCGCTGTGGTGCGCGCCGAGGCCGAAGGGCAGGCGCGGGCCCCCTGGGTCCCCGCTCGCCTGCGACCCTCCGTGGATCCTGCAGTCCAGACGGCGCCGGCCGGGCCCTGCCTGGGCGCCGGGGCACGAGGAGCCCGTGCGGCCCCCGATTCTTCCCGTGCCGAGTGGTGACCCCAGGGGCGGCAGGAGAGGACTTTGTTGTCTCCTCTGCACTTAAAGCCTCGGGCTGAGCGGCCGGGGCGGCCGGGGGGTTGCGGACTGAGACATCCGTCCGTGGGTCTCCGGGTTCGGGGTGAAAAACCGACGGGATCTCAGGTCACTCACCTGTCAACGCCACATCCCGTCCCAAATCCAGACGTAGAGCTTCGACTCTGCTCTAGAGCAGTTTTCCCGACACCCGTTCATCCCTGCCCCGGTGTGGCCAGAGTACCTGTCTTAGAACTAACTGTTAGAAATAATATGCAAATACTGCCTGGCGGAAGAAATCAGTTTGCTGAGTGGATCATCGCGGGAGAGCCTGGAGAGCACCGAAACTCATCCAACAGGTGGCTGCGCTGGCAGGGCTCATGTCTTCATTCACCCCACAAGTCGGCCAGTGCCTCCCGGGCTGGAGTCGCGGTGGGACGGTGGTGGCGGCAGTGGAGAGGGATGGGTTTGAGAAACAGCTTAGGCCTGGGGTTGGACCGGCCTTCCTCTGTTGGGCCTGGGGGTGGGGGGGTGAGAGCAGGAATAGGACCCAGCACAGGGCGCCCCCACCTTTTCAGGCTACTGCCTGATCCCACCCAGGCTCACCCGCCCTTTCTGCGAGTTCCATCTGCTTGCTTAATCCTCACTCAGCTGGCAGCTCTCTGTGGAAGGGAGTTGGGGGAAGGTGCAGGAAGATGTGGTTTTTCCACATTCCATCTCCACCCATCTGGGGCACAGCAGGGTCTGAGATGGGGAGAGCTCTCCCGGGCCTGGGTCTGTGCCACCTTGGGGCATACCCTGAGCAAGGGCCACTGGGAGTCATCCATGACTCCTCCTGGGAGAGAGTCTGAGCTGGGAGCTCGGAGGAGAGTGGAAGGGGAATCCTCTGGCGTTAAAGATTAAGGTGGGCAGAGCTGTAGTAAGGCAGTGCCGGAAAAGGGTGCGAGCCAAGCTTTTACTTGCCTTCCAGAGCGTGTGCTCCTCTTGCTCCTGTCTAGGAAGGGAAGAGGTGCAGGGTCAGCACCTGCGGGAGGCCTTGTGCAGCCCTTCATCTGTTGGGCTCAGAAGCTGGCTTCTCGTGGGCTTCCTTGAGCACCAGGTGCCTTGCTGTGCCGGGCTCAGGGCCATAGGGGATAGGTTTGTCTTGTAGGAACAGATACGCAGACGGGCCACCAAGAGGCACCAGGATGCAGTCTTCTCCACTTTGTGCTGAGCCAAGGGACCCTGGGGCAGCTGCTGGCAGTTTGTCTGAGGAGGCTGGGCTATCTGAGGTGGCTGTTGAAGGATGAGTAGGAGCCTGCCAGCTCTGGAACATGGGACAGTGCACTCGGGGGAGTGCTGGGGGGCAGGGGTGCCTCTGTGGGACAGAGGTGTATGCAGGTGGGAAGGGGTGTTGCAGGTCCTGCTCCAGCACTTTGCCAGGGAAGCTCATAACCTTAGCCAGCCTGGTGAAACAGAGGAGGAACCAGAGAGTCCGCTCATTTGCAAATAAGACTGGTCTGTCTGGGGGCCTTGCAGTGCCTAGGCCATGGGACTCAGAAGGAAGTTTGGGGGAGGAAGGGAAGAGCATGGCCATCAGATGACAGAGCCTTCCAGGACAGGAGCCCTGGCTTTGTGGAAGGGCAGTGTTCTCCCCCATCTTCTAGTGCAGGATGGATGGATTGAGGCCTGGGACGTGAGGCTGTAGACCTGTCCGTTTTCAAGGCCAAGCATCCATCCTGGCCAAGGACCATGTGTATCTTGGTGGTGGCACCCAGGGTGTTGCTCTGGACTGCCTGCCCTGAGAAGCCTCACTCTAGAGCCATGGCCACTGGCAGTGCTTTCTGTGGTTGCACCTCTGGTGACCATTGGCCAGGCAGGAGCTGTGGAGGGCCAGCTGCCCACCTTGCGGCGCCTGCCATAGGATCTCATTAGTAACACCTTGGCTGTCACACCTGATGGGCCACCCCCAAGACCTCACGCATCCTTGGCTCGGAGCCACTGACGGGCCACCCCCGAGGCCACACGTGCCCAGAGCCACTAATGGGCCTGAAAAAGACAGCTAATGGAGGATGGCGATGACTAAGTATGACATACAGAGCTGACTGTGCCAGCTACACACACAGATAACTTGGAGTGTATAAATTGGCTTGTAATCAGACCAGGTCATCATCATGCTCTTTCCATGGGCAAACTGAGGCATGGAGAAGTCAAATAACTTGTCCAGTCAGAACTGAGGGAGTCCGACCCCAGAGTGCCGGCCTTTAACCATTGTGTAAACTGCCTGGACTTAAGGGCCACTCACTGCCCTGTTCCCCATATTTGGTGCCTGCCCCGCACCTGTGAGCCCTCCGGGGTGGGGAGCTGAGAACAACCGAGGCCTGCCTGTGGACTCCCCTCCTTGCAGGCAACCGGGTGAGGGGCAGCTGGGGGTGTCGGGAGCACCGTGAAGCTTTGGGCAGTGCCGTGGGCCATCTTGGCGGGATTTCCCCAGGAACCCTGTCCCCACCCCACTTCAGTCCTTTCCCTTTCTTGCTCTCCTCTTCTGGCCTGACCTTCTGGGGTCAAATGGGGAAGTTTCAAATGAAAGAAAAACTTGATCATGGGATGAGGCATAATGCAGCAGTTTCTGGGGGGATCCAGTTCTGGGTTGGTTTTTGGGGTTTGTGAGCAGGGTCCTCGGAGCTACCAGTTTAGAAATGAGGAAGTGGTTTGTTTTGAATCACCCTCTCTCCTCAGTAATCCTTCAGCTTGGGGTTGGAGGTGGGTGCTGGGCAGTGGGCTTGTAAAGGGGAGAAGGTAGACTGGGCTTCAAAGGGACCGGCTACTCGCAGGCACACGGTAGTGGTCACAAGCTGCCCTGTATGGAGAGGCCGCCACCACGTGGAGAGACAGCTCCACTGTGGAGCTTTTTGCAAAGCTTCCTGCCTGGGCTTCTGTCTGGTCTGGGGGCACCTCCGAGCCTGTAGTCGCTGGGTTCCTGCCATGCTGACCCTGTACTGACCAGTGGGGCAGGTCAGTATTCACCTGATGTGCTCAGTAAAAAGCCCCTTTCTTCCGAGTAAGGAGAGGGCTACGGCCTGGGTCTTAGTGGACAGCACAGTGTGTGTGGAGAGGGGAGGTGGCCATGCTTGTCCCCAGTGGGCCCTCGGCCGGGAGCCGTTTCTCTGCTTGTGGGCATCTCTGATCTTTTGCTGATGTGATTTGCACAAACATGTATAATTTTAATTCTCATGCTAATTCTGTGAAGTTAAGCAGCTGCAAAACCTTGGGGGTGGGGTGTTTCTCATATGCATGCTTGCGTCTGGGTTCGGGATGGCGCTGTTGCAGGAGCTCTGTCCTGCCATGTCGGCAGCAGAGCCAAATGGAAAGATAAGACCCTGTGGGTGGGCACTTTCCCCGCTATCTCTGCTGACCCCACAGGGCAGCCAGTGTCCCTTTTTACAGGTGATGAAAGTGAAGTCATGGAGCCAGTTCAGAGCCAGCTGTGACCCCTCCACCTGTCCCCCTTTAGAGGATCCCTCTGTGGGCTGGGCATGTGTGGGCCTCTTAAGGGCTGCTGGACCTGGGGAACGTAGGGGTTTATAGTGTCTCCCCAGGGAGAGCTGGCTGAAGTGGGAGCAGGGGGACTAGAGTCCAATTAGGGGCTGGGGGCAACAGGAGGGCGTGACAGGGAGGTGCTGGCCTGCGGGAGTGGCAGGGGCTGTGGCAGGATGGCATCCAGGATGAGGTCTGGGGAGAGGCCTGGAATTGAGTGACTCTGGTCTTGTGGGCATAAAACCCAGCCTGAGGTCTCGGGCTCTGTGCCCCCGTTTGGGGGAAGGCCAGTGGGCGAATGAGTCCCCCACAGCAGCAAGGCCATTAGTGTAGTGCCACCATCTGGGGAGTCAGGCTGGGGGTGCTATGTACCAGTGGCTGCACAATAGGCCCACCTTGGGGGTTCAGTGGGTGGAACCCTGAGCTGTTGTGGGGAGGCCACTGTGTTTGGGTCATTTATCTGTGTCTGCGTGGGGACACGGTAGAGGCCCACAGCCAGGCTTGGCACCACTGTGGACCCTAGAATCCAGGCAGGCCTGCTGCGGTTGAGGAGGTAAATGACCCTTGGTTGAGGAGGTAGAACTTTCTAGCAGGCATTTCCTGTCCTGGACATGGTGGGTTGGCCGACCCTTGGGACTAGGTGAAGCACAGCCTTGAGGAGGGCTCTAGCCCAGCACACCTCCTTTGCCATCCCCCTGGTCCAGGCAACAGGGAGGGCCTGGCTTGACCTGGGAGGCCAGCTGGCCCCAGGAGTGCACCACTTCTCAAAAAACCCGTTTTCTCCCCGTCTCTTCTAGGAAGTTCCCAGACTCTTAATGGCTGACGGTGCTGAGCCAGTGGCCTTGCTGGCCACAGCACCTCCTTGGGGTGGCTTGCATGTGTTAACAGCAGTTCTGGCTATCCCCACGCCAGTGCCCGCAGCACTTGCCCTGTTCCACATGCAGGATGTCATCCCCTTTCCTAGAGGAGGAGACTAAGCTTGCTGCTGGAACTCGAAGGGTGGAAGGGCTGGGACTCAGGCAAGGAGGGCCTTCTGTCACACCTGCTTGCCATCCTTGTCCACTGAAACAGTCACTGCCCCCCAGCCAGCTCTGGCCAGAAGTGCCAGGGACTGGTTACTGGGGCTCTACTTTGGCCTTGGTGCCACCCCCTTTCTTTTTTTGTTCTCCAATGTGCACACACATAATCAATATATATATG